CTACCGGAATAAAAATAAACCGCCACCAACACCCGATCACAATAAGAGCGATGAGATTACAACTTCACTCCAACAAATTGCATAAATCGAAGTACGATTAAAGTATTAAGACTCCCATCTATTTATAGATAATGTGGACGAATTCCTTATCCAATTGGTGAAAGATATATAAAATCATAATTCGACAAGGACAAGTACACAAAATCCTAATTGTACAAGGACATGATTCATTACGGTCGACCTCTTTGCATAAATGGTCGACCGTCTTGGGTAAATGTGAAACAGGTCGACCTCTTTACACAAATGGTCAACCGTTGTTTATAAATGTGAAACAGGTCGACCTCTTTACTGAAATAGTCGACCATAGTTTATAAATGTGAAACAGGTCGACCTCTTGACACGAATGGTCGACCTCTTGACACGAATGGTCGACCGTATTTTATTAAGGCCAAACAGACGAGATTCCATCCATATTCTACATGGTTTTTTACTTTGCTAAGGTATCATAGGTCGACCTTAAGCGTCACGAGGTCGACCTGTGCTCTGCCTTTGGGTATGCCCGCTTTGAGTATGTGGTCGACCACTTGTTCTAGACGATTGAAATCGTAAATTCAGTCACATCCATAATTGTATAACAAATCTAATAAACGATAAACATTCAAAATCCAAAATGAAACGATCTCGCAAATACAAATTCAATGTATGGTCCAAATAATGCAACATTGTAACTTAACGACTTCATTTCTTTGCTTTTTTGTTTGAACTCTGTCTCTCTTTGCCTCGTTCCATGCATTCATCTACTACATGCTTGAAAAGATTTTCTCGTGCAAGGTTTTCAAAATGTGTAGCCAGATACCATAGAATCTCCTTTCGAGCCGGTAATTTGTGTTCTTCTCCTATCTGCATTATGCCATGTAAGATTTCGTTACAACTAAAAATAGTGTAAATTAAACAAGTTATTTGTTTGACGATATACTCACCACTCTATCAAGATCCTTGGATCCATAGCGCATCCACTGCATGACGTGCACACCACACTCAGTACTATTCCTTTGCCGTTGAACTCGTAGCTCATCAAAATTGAAATCTCCAAAATTTGGTACTCCTACATTGCTCATGCTCTCCGGTTTGAAAATATCATCCAAATTGGACAACTACACACAAATAACGAATATTTTAAGTTTCTAGCATAATACGTGACGCTTAACAGTCGGAAAATTATAGGAAACACTTACCAATTTCTTGCATAGTGCTGATTTAAGCCTACGATTCGCCTCACTAGTTGAAGGTAGACTGTCAAGCAAAAATGCAGTTTTTTGCTGGACATTGACGAGATACAGAAACCAGATACAGAAACCAATGACGTGCTTCATCATCAAGAACTGGCATAAATATCTAGCAATGAAACACTCACTATATGTTATAAACAGCGAATACAAACAAATGCACTTTTGAAATTTAATGATATAGGGACATTGACTAGACTAACCTTCTGGCATGCACTGACATTCGGCATAAAGACCACGCCATCATTCATCAACTTGTTACGAATTTGTCTGGTCTTCATGTTAGCGCGTACCATTTTCTGCACCATGTTTTAGTTGAGATGAATTGACATGGTACAATATAAATAACTAGGTTATGACAAATAATTTGACATTACGGCTCTTACCGAAAACATATTTGGCAAATACCACACATTTGGCTCTTTCACATCATGTTTTTTAGACATTGTTAGTGCCCTTGCACACAAATCTACTACCTACCATCCAACAATCAAACACAAAATCATCGTAAATCGTAACATAAATAGTGCACAATTCATACGAAAGTCGTAGTAGTATAGTACTTATTGATGAGCAAACCCAGCTATTCTCGCTAATGACCGAACTCAAATAATGTCGTTGCACGTTTTCAGAAAAAAAGTTCACAACGGTCAAACTGCAAAAATCAAAATAACAGAAATGTCAATTGTGATTTGCAACGTACAGGTCGACCTGTTCACAGTCACGGTCGACCTTATTGGAAAAACGGTCGACCTCGTGACCTAAACGGTCGACCACACGTACTAAAAAACGTCTTACTTGTCCCAATTCTTGTCCCCAGCCTTCTCTTTAGTAACAACATAATACAAAGTCTTCAACTGGATTTTGAAGATTTTTGGTGAATCCTTCTAGACCCTCCACTTTCATGACCTACAAATCATAGTTAAAATTAAAGTAACATATGAACACAAACACACATTATAGATGAATATGTAACGTAAACTTACCCCGTGCTTTCGAAAGGACTCTTAGATTCATCTTCATCGCAATCATCACTAAATAATCCTTTTCTTACAAATTGATCCTTCATATCGCGGTCTCTTGTACTTAGGAGAGGAACCCTTGCTGCCATTCGTTGTTTCACTCTGTCAAACATATAAACAAAACAAATTAGCACTAATGATAGTAATACTAATATCTTCAATCACATATGAATATACTTGGATACCTTTAAAATGTGCTCTTTCAATAAATCTTCTATGCTCTGGTAGCAATTTTCAGAGTCATCATGGTCTTCTTCCTCTTTACCAAAGTAAAATTTCTTTCCTTTACCATTTCTTCCGCCATTCTCCATTCGTTCTGCACTTATATCTTTGATAGCACCTTCTAGCCTCTCAAACCCGTCATGCATCATCCCAGTCATATCTGTCAGTCGAACTGACAATTGCTCCACTCTATCACGCATGGACTTCTGAAAGTCATTGACTTGTGTTTGACACACCACCAGCTTCTCTTGTGTGGCTTTCAACAATTTCATGATTTCACCCAAATCTTGATGCAGTTTCTCATCATGCGTCATCATCTAAACAATTTAAAGAAAAATTTAAATCATACTTCAACTACAAATTTCTACAATTGACCAAAAAACAAAGACGTGGTCGACCTGACAAAGTATTAGGTCGACCTGGAAGACAAATAGTGACTACCACAACCATTAAGGTCGACCTCTGTTATTCCTAGGTCGACCTATCCAGCAGGAAAATAACAATTAACAAAAAAAAGTAAGTTCAAAATTAAACCAAAAAAAGGATAGGTCGACCAGATATCTGGCGCGGTCGACCTTTTCAAGCACAACATAGTCATACAAACAAAGCCAAAGTCGACATTCAGGTTGAATAACCAAAAAAACAGAAACGGTCGACCTTGAAACCCATTAGGTCGACCAATTGGGTTACCTCGCAAGTACAGAAGTCCAAGTGTTCTGGCCTAAATTCAAATACGCAGAATTGTCTCGTCAGGTCGACCTGGTTGACGTCACGGTCGACCGAATGGAATTCTGCACCCAACAATATATCAAATTAGCCGGTGGAAATCACGCATTAGAAAAGAAGACGGCGAATGGTACATTAGGTCGACCGCACCTTAGACCTGGTCGACCACTTCCAACACGTACAACAGCAACCGCGAACGATCTTCTTCACAAAGGCTCTTAATCAGAAAAAAACCTAATTCAGACTTGGAGGCGTTGAAGGGGACTTATATTCGTATTTGTAGAGATTTAGGACGTCAATGGGTCGACCCAATTTGTTTCCTTGTCCAATTGTGGAACCTTTCTGGTGTTGGAATCCATATCCAATACGGATACGGTGTGAAGGCGGTCGACCTCTTCATAATGCGGTCGACCTGTTAGGTGCACAAGGGTCGGCCTATGAGATATTTGGGTCGACCTTTCATTCTGTTAGACCACCAAAGCGGTCGACCGTATTATGTAAGAGGTCGACCGCGTCTCGGAACCCCACATACATGAATTAGTCCATTCGGTCGACCGCATGTTAGATTAGGTCGACCGAAAAGTCCATGTCACGGTGACATGCATGTCACCGTAGCAAAATCCTAAGATTTATAGTGTGCATTCTAATACTTTTGATGTGCTTTGTCCTCATCCATCCATCACTCCAATATAAAGACCCTCTCACATTATTACATGTGGTGTAATTACCAACCCCAGACTCTTAAATCTGGCTGTGGTACTTCCGCTTCTTCACACCATTTCCCTCTTCTTAATGTCCATTCGACGGCCGATACACTGTATACCCATTCACCCCACTGGCTAATTTTGAAATGTCGGGGCTGAAGTAGGCCGAAGAGCCATCATCCTCTGAATTTCTCATCCCGCCTAACGAAAGCTCAGGAATCGTCTCTTCGTCGTCAGTTTTCTAGTAAACGACAGCTCCTTGCACTTCATCGCTACCCTCGCGCCAAATTCACTTGTTGCTCATCTTCTTCTTCTGGTATGTACCCAAAATTTTTGACCCACACCTGACAATGATCTCTTTTGTTAGAACAAACACAAAGTTTTATACTCCTTTGCCTACGAGTGGCGACCAGGAAGAAGAAGGAGAGCCCCGTCTGCGAGTGGCGACCCGGAAGAAGCAGAGCGTCTCCTGCGAGTGGCGACCTGGAAGAAGGAAACCGGTGCAGGCCCTGGTCCGAGTCCGACTACGATTTTGATGTCATCATCGGCGTTTTCTACACCAGTGTCTGGCCCGACCGTTGGAGCTTCTCCGACACGAATCTCGGCCCCGTTCGCTCCCGGTGGAAGGGGATCTGCCAGGTCAATATCAGATCTATCGCTAGAAACTGTAATAAGAAGTTAATTGGAGAGCGATTTTTTGAGAAAGGCAGCGCGACGGATGCCAATGGGCTCAATCGGAGAGGGTCTCGCCGGTGGCAGAGGAGAGATATGAGAGAGAATCCGTCGGCGATAAGGGAGGAGAAGGAGATCGAGAGATGGAATCGGCGATAAGGAAGGAGAATGAGATCGAGAGACGCAGAGAAGGTAGTTGGGTATTGAAATTTTATAATCAATTTTAATTTATTATTTTTTGTTGGTTTTCCTTTTTTACCCTTGATGTTACTATAACAACACCCCTAATTTTATTAAATTTATAATTATGAACTACTAAAAAGTAAAACCTAGGTTTGTAGAATTGGGGTTTCTTCCAATCCGCTAGACCGCTACCACAAATAGGGTTTCCCCCTTGTTGAAAGCAATTCTTCTCACATTGGAGGGTCTCTTCCGTCGTCCCAGTTAAATGGGCAGTCGCCTCATCCAACTGACGGCGTTCTCTACTCCGTCTTCCCTTGTCACTTGTGAGCCTGTGCAACAGTTCAGTGCACCTCTAGCAGATTCACGCAAATTTCATCCCCCGTGGCCTCCACCAAAATCCCGTCGTCGCTTCGGAACTCATCGACTCAAGCTAATCTCGGCCTCCTCTACTTCTCCATCCAGATTTTCTACTCTTCCTCTAAGAAAAGTAAGGTGCTTTGCGACATCCTGTTGAGGAGTTTAACAAAGCATGGCCAGTCTAGGAGCGTTCTCTCTTTGTTTATAGAACAATGGTGCTGGACTCTGTTTTTTCCCGACGTAGAAACATACCCGTTAATTCTGGGTTCGTGCCCTTCGGGCTCAGAGATTGCTAACGGGAAAACGGATTTATGGGCTAGTCATAAAATTGGGCTTGGAGTCGTCGTCAGCGGTGGAGGCTGCTGTGACAGAGATGTGCAATCGATTTGGAGAATTTCGCAATGTAAGGAATGTCGTCGATCAGCTTATGCCATTTAAGAATGTCAATCTGTCGGATGGAAATATTATTGGAAGTTCTCAAATGGGAACGGGAAGACTAGAAACTGATTTTGTTAGGAAGGCGACTAATTTGTTGAGGTTCGTTGTTGATTCGCGCTTGTTAAAGGAGGGAAGAATTGTCCATTCTTGGGCTTACACTTCCGGATTATGCAGAAACTTGTCTGTAAGTACCGCTTTGTTATCAATGTATGTGAAGCTGCGGGATTTGCACAGTGCTGGGAAGCTGTTTGTCAAAATGCCTGACAAGGACTGTGTTGTGTGGAACATAATGATATCTGCATATTCTCACAACGGGCACCCCGAGAAATCTGTGCAGTTGTTGAGAGAGATGTTGAAATCAGGGACCAAAGCTGATTTGTTCACGGCCTTGCCTGCTGCTTCCTCGATTGGGCAGTTGAAATCCTTGGGCTGGTGCAAAGAACTGCATACTTACGTGACAAGAAACGAACTAGGTTACCAGGTATCTGTTCATAATGCGCTCGTTGATATGTATTGCGATTGTGCTTGTATGGACTACGCAAGGAAGGTATTCGACTCAATTATAGATAAAACAGTGGTCTCTTGGAGCACCCTGATGAAGGGTTATGTGAAACATGATCACTCTTTGGCAGCTTTATCTCTCTTCTCTAAAATGAACTTGGTAGGACCGCAAGTTGATTTTATAGCCATCATTAACATCTTGCCTGCCTGTGTGAACACTGGAGCACTAGAGCAAGTGAAATCCCTTCATGGCTACTCAGTTAAACTTGGTCTAAACCTTTTATCAGCTCTAAACACGGCTCTACTCACCAGCTATGCAAAATGTGGATCCATGGATATGGCTAGGAAGATCTTCTTCATCGAGGAAAAGTTCGATAGAGACATAATCATTTGGAATTCGATGATTAGCTCACATGCCAAGCACGGAGACTGGTCTCAGTGTTTTGAGTTGTACAAGCAAATGAAGCATTCAAATTTAAAACCAGATGAGTTCACGTTTCTGAGTCTACTAACAGCTTGTGTGAATTCAGGTCTGGTTGAGGAAGGACGGGCATTGTTCAAGGAGATGACTGAAACCTACAAGCAAAGTCCCAGCCAAGAGCATTATGCTTGCATGGTGGATTTGTTAGGGCGTGCAGGCCTTGTGAATGAAGCTAAGGAGCTTGTGGAGAGCATGGCGTTCAAACCGGATGCACGGATTTGGGGTCCGCTGTTAAGTGCCTGTAAGTTGCACCCCAATACTACTGAACTGGCAGAGTTTGCAGCTGAGAATCTCATAATTGCAGAGCCAAGAAATGCTGGCAATTACATACTGCTCTCCAACATATATGCCGCTGCAGGGGAGTGGGATGGAGTTGCTAAGATGAGGAGTTTCCTTAGGGATAAAGGGCTGAAGAAAACTCCTGGATGTAGCTGGGTTGAGATCAATGGTCAGTCCCATGAGTTTCGGGTTGCTGACCGGTCTCACCCAAAGGCTGATTCCATATATGGGACACTGAGCTCTCTGGAGCTAGAAATCAAAGCTGCCAGAGACGAGTTTGGGAGGGAAGCAAAAGGCCTAGCTGTGGATTCTGATCTTTTCTGGTGACTTTCTTTGGCATGGACTTTCCAGGCCTGAGGTCAGCCTTCAATGAGTTTCCTATTTCTCTTTCTCCTCCGCATTCGTATCATTTGACCTCCCTAATCTCAAACGTTGTTCATTACAGTGTTCAGCTTCTCTGCGGAAGTTAAACATCTCTTACAAGGCTCTATTATCTGGTGGACGATTTCATCTAGAAGCAAATTAGGAATAGTTCTTCACTCCTATTGGTGTTAGTTGTGCAGAGTGATTTAGTGCATCTTCCAGTGGAAGAAGGGATGGAAATATGATCAACAAAAATTTCAAGAAGCGATCTTTTGAGCTGGAACCAGAGACAACTGCTTGATTCCATTCTACCAACTCGTGGGTTTTGCGCATTCGCTTGGATTGGATGCAGCCTTTCAAGCACAGATAGCCTTGAGCACTGACCAACTTCGAACCTGCCTGATTCACATTATGGAGAACACTGGAAGCTTGCTTCTTCCTTTCGTGTACCCCGCCCGACAAACCCAAGTTCAGACAATTTGCAAAAGCTGGACAGATCGTTGAACGCGACTCTGACCAATGAAGTTAGCAGGAAGGCATGTACTTCACAAAGTACCAGCACTAATGAGAGTGACTGCTGCAGTAGTTTCCAGGGAGATCCCATCTCTTAAAGCTACTGAAAACCCATATCTTGGTTGGTCTCGGATGGTCCAACTCCACACTGGTCCTGTCTTTGGGCACCCATGTTGGCTTCTTGGGAGTTGGGAAGGATGCCCAGACCTCTCAGAAGGGTTACTTGTTGGTAACAATGAGAGATGACATTTCTGCTGCAACTAGCTGTGTTGCAGCATGAAGTCTCAGCCTCTGCGACTGAAACTGTAATTGAAAACTGGGGTGATCGACTGATCATCGTGCTTATCAGGAAGCTTGCCAGACAGCGCCTTTGCTTGATACTTTACAGAGGTGCCATGGCTATTTGTTGTCTAGACTGTTTTGCTCTTGATGAAGCCAGGACGGTTTGATTGAATTAAAATGAAATTCAAGAGATCCTGCTGCATGTGCAAACCGGCGAGCACTACAAATAGTCACTAAACTATCTCAACCTGAAAATCGTGGATTCATATCCAGTTGGGAGGTAGTTACTCCAAATGGTTATTTTGTTACGACTTGGGGGAAGAATAACATTACTACATCAGTAACCAATATGTTATGTGTTGAAGTTCTGTGATAATTTTGTAATATTCCGCATAATTTGGTGACCATCTGACTAACTTTTAATGTTGTCAAAACCGAACCGGAGCATGACCCGATAATGTGAACGGCTCGCATTTTAGTAGTCCAACCGATATTGAGCCGTTAAAAAACTGTTTGAGAGTCGATAGGTTATAAACAATGATATAATATAATAAGTACAAGATGCATAAGGTAGTAACTTAACAATTCAATGACTAAAATAAAATTTACTTTGCAGGTACTACTTGGTAATTTTACAATATATATAACAACTAAGAAAACCCTAATCCCCACCCCACCCTTGTGCGCCGCTCATCACTTTTCTCCCTCTGATTTCCTTCTCATTCCCCTCCTTTCACCTCTCTTTCTCCTTCACTCTCTTCTTTGCTGATCTGTCTCCCCACACCGCCGTCACTCACTTCAAAAGTTCAACCCTGCCATCCTCCTCAGCGCACCAACATTGACTTGCTGCATGATATGCCCACTCCGTTGGCCACCTACAACACCATTGTTCTAATCCTTCACCATATATTATTTCTCCTCTCTTTCTTTCTAGAAACGGCGACGACAAGGTAGGCAACGGCGGCGGAGACAACACTCGACATCCATCCAGTTTTTTTTTCAGCCAGAAGTCAAAAACCGATAGGTCGGTTCGATCGGCTCGAACGATTAGCCGTTGCGGCCGCTCACCAACCGTTCTTTCTGACCGTTGCGGTTTTGGAGGTGACCCAAACCGGAATGACGTCCGGGTGACGGTTTTACCGGTCGGACCGACCGGCTCGGTCCGGCTTTAATAACATTGCTAATTTTGTACTCCTGAGTCCTGACTCCTAGGAATTGGCCAATTTTATACTTCCTAAGCCCATTAGTGCTCGATCGTTCTCTCATTTAGCGAGAGTCAGTAGCGGCGGAAACCCTAGCGTTTTTCCGGAGACGTACTTCAACTCGTTTTCCTTTTTCCTTACGAGAGGGATTAGAGTGCAGTTTGAGAGTTTTTGATTGTTAAGCTTTAAAAGTGCTGGTCCAGTGGTTTGAGCGATAGCTATACTCTGGCAAAAGTTTCTCTGGCTGTACACGACAACCATGGAAAATACAGAAGGTGTTCGTTCCGAAGAGGTAATCCAACGGCTCAATAACACTACTGAAAACATCGAAGAGCGGCTGGATAGTATCACGTTGGCGGATGAAGATGACTCCCCTTTGGAGGTTGAAGACGACGACGTTGATGTAGTCAGGATGGAGGCTGTGCGCCGTCTTGGTTTGATAGGGCTTCTGGTAGCTGGACAAACAACCAAACGTCAAGTCATTGAAAATTGCCCTAACAAAAGCATGGAACCTGAAAAAAGGATTCCAGATCACAGATCTAGGAGATATGCTATTTGTGTTTGAGTTCCTAGATGTGGACGACAGAGATAGGGTTTTCTATGGAGGGTTGTGGCACTATGAAAACAATGTGATGGTCTTCATGGCTAGCTTGCTAATCAAGAAACTGATTCCAGAGGCTCTACACATGATCGATATATGGATCCAAATCAAAGAACTCCCTGCAGAACCCTAAAGATGGTAGAGAAGATAGCGAACAGGTTTGGTTCACTAGCTTGGTTTGATGACAGTACAAGCACGATGTGGGATGATTACATGAGACTCAAGGTTAGTGTATCTATCAACAATCCACTCAAGAAAGAGCTAAAACTAAGTATTGGAGGAAAGTTGATGTAATACCGGGTGAAGTACGAGAAACTCCCAATGTTGTGTTACTCCCGTGAGCGAATTGGCCACCCAAAATTGCGGTGCCCTACCTCATCAAATATGGAGGTTGATCCTTTCGGGATGGAATTGAGGGATAGCGCTCTTGGAACACGAAATTGATTGTTCTACACAACAAAGAAGGAGGGTGAGGAAGTCTGGGCTTTACTGCGAAAAAAATTCGACATAGAAAGTGTTGGGTCAAACTCATACCTGGAGGTACCCCTCCGGAGGAGAGACTACAGCCTCCACCTGGTTTGACAAAGGAAGGCAAGGAAAAAAACACCAAATGAGACAAACCATGAAACAAAAAAAACAACAGAAATAACACATGGGGCTATTGATCGAGACATAAAAATGGCAGAAGAAAGAGTCAGTGAAATCATTAATCAAACAACAGCAGAAGACTCACTACCTTGAGGCCCCGAATGCAGGGCTACTGGGAATGGGAGGAGTGGTCCAGAGGTTTGATATGGGACCTGTAGGAGAGGTACCCCAGAGAAGAGGTCCAAATCGAGTGCGGAGAAGACAATAACAAGTTCAGGCTGGTACCTCGACACCTTTGCAAATAACACCACAGAAAAGACAAGGGGCAGAACTAGAAGCTCAAACTATGAAAGAAGTGGAGCTTCAATCACAGGGGGAAAAAAGCTAAGGTTCTTACTTTCCAAGATACACAAGGACACCTCTTTCCAAAAGTGCCAGAAGCTCAGGAAAACATCAAGGATGGCGGTGAGGCAGACTCTGCAAAAGAGTAGAGCCGCCCAGCTCAATGAGTGTGTTAAGTTACAACTGCCGGGGACTCGGGAACACCCTGGTAGTTGGCAAGGTGAAGAGACTACTTCACCAATATGATCCCGACATTGTCTTTCTTATGGAAACAAAACAGTATGAAAAGGAGTGGAAGGAAAAGATAAAAGAATTTAGTTATTATGATGGGGATGGAGCATCAGCCGGCTCCAATAGGGCTGGTGGACTCCTACTGATGTGGAAGGAAGAGGTCAAAGTGCATATTATGTGCTTGAAAATAAATCACATTGATGCCAAGGTTAAAATGTACTCAAAGGGTGCGGAATGGAGGCTAACAGGGTTTTATGGCTGGCCTGAGAGCAAAAACAAATAGAAGAGTTGTGAGTTGATGCGTAAACTTCACCAGCAAGTTGATTTTCCCTGGATGGTTATTGGGGATTTCAATCTCCTCCAGATCATCTGGAGAAAACTGGTAGTAGGGAACCAGACCTCAAAGAGATGGAAATGTTTCGAGCAACTTTGGAGGACTGTGAACTCGAAGACTGTGGCTATTTCGGGAGGATTTTTACATGGGAAAGCAACCGAGATGAGGAGAACTATACTGAGGAAAGGCTCGACAGAGCAGTAGCAAATGATAAATGGAAACATATCTTTCCCAACATGAGATTGAATCATTTGGAGAGATGTGGTGCAGATCACATTCCGATTTAGATGGTCCTATACACTATGGAAGAGGAGATAACATGGGGGTGGTCTTTTCGATACGAACACCACTGGGAGAATTACAAAGATTGCAAGAAAGTGGTCCAGGATGGTTGGAACTCTCCTGAGAATGTGACTGTCATGGACAGAATCAAGAGTTGTGAAACTAAACTGCTTGGGTGGAGCAAAGAAGCTTTCGGCTCATTAAAAACCAGAAGAAACAAGCTAGAAAGACTACTCAAGAACGTAAACCAAAGAAAACTAACGAAGACTATGCTAGAACAGAGGAAAGCCCTAGAGCGAGAATTAGATGATATTCTATATCAGGAGTAGGGATGGCAATGGGTCGGGTTGGGGCGGGTTTTGCCAAACCCAAACCCATGGGTTTATCCGCCAAAAAAACCCGGGGTAAAACCCGCTGGGTTTGAAAAACTCAAACCCAACCCGCTGGGTATCCACGGGTTGATGGGTACCCGTGGGTTTTTGTGGTAAAAAATATACAATAACAATTAACAAGAAACTATCAAAACAAAAATCAAACATAAATTTCACCGTACAAATTATCCATACATAAAACACCATTCTAGAAAATTCAAGCAAATCACACACCATCTATACAAATTGTTAAACATCAAACTAGAAAATTCAAGAAAGTCACAAATTATCCATACACAACATGATTAATTGAAGTTTACTCCTCCTTGAAAAGTTGAACATTGTCATCTTAGCTTCGCTCTCCGCTTCATAACATCTTCATTCTACACAATTAGGTAGACCAAAATTAGAAATGTCTTCACAAACATAGAAAAAGATGAGTTTTTTTAAGAAGATATTTAGAATATTAAATATACCTGTAACACATGAAGCACAATCTGGATCTAGGTCATCATTAACAGTGGCAAAAGTCATGAGCTTATCAATTGTCTCCAAGCCATCTACAAATAGAATAGAAAGTGAACAAATAATGTTAACCTACAATATCATAACTAACATGTATTAAATTTCATATGTGAAATCAAACAATCAAAGGTTATCAAGCTACCTGGAATGGTTGAATTGAGCAACCAATTTTGAGCACACATCAGAACCTCAACAGTTTCTGGGAGAAGTCTGCTTCGACTAGGGCTAACTAGTCTTCCACCGGCACTAAAAGTAGACTCAGAAGCCACAGTAGTCACTGGAATTGCAAGTATGTCTCTAGCAATCAATGCTAAAGTCGGATACTTTGACTCATTTGCCTTCCACCACAATAAAATGTCAAATCCAGCTGTCGTTGGCAAGACTTTCTCCTTGAGGTAGCCATCCAACTCAGTTTCCACATCAACATTGCTAGTAGTCAATGATGCTACATACCTATCATATGTTGTCTTTCTTCCTCCACCTTGACTTATCGAACTCCCATCATGAGACGAATTTCCATCTTGATTCCCATCCACGTTTGACTTCTTATAATCCTTCTCCAATTCAACCAACAATTGTCGAACACTCTCAATACATGCCCTTGATTAAGCACCATAGATATCTGGAAAGTAGCACTCCAACAAGGTAAACTTATACCTTGGATCAAATACAACAGCAATGGCCAAAACATCATGAATAGTACTTCAATACTTCTCATATTTTGTCATCATGCTTTTGGCCATATCTCTAATGAAAGAATCATCATCCAACATCCAATTAGAGATGGCCACCTTAATGTCGCACACCTTTTCAAAAAACAAATTGGAAGTTGAGTATTTAGCCCCTGAAAACAGCTCAGTCACATC